CCATCCATGTTTGCGATCGCCTGACAGGGGGGGGCTGTGTGCGCTCGCGGCTTCCAGCAGTCTACTAGCGGCCGCCAGGCGATGAGAGCGGCCACTCCTGGCAGCGAGCGGCCCTCCCGAGGTCCCAGAGGCCCAGAATCCCCCGACGTCGTTCCCTTCCCACCGTGGACCCCCCCTGGGAGTCTCGACTCCTCCGTCCGCGACGGAAATTTCACACTGAGCAGCTTCTCGGTGGCCCGAGTGTCCTTCAAGGGCCCAGGGGCCCTCAGAGCTCAACAAGTACGAAGGTGTCATGCATCGTGGTTCTTGTGAAGCTCGCCAACGTGCCCCCTGGCACGTTGCTGCGTGGTCGAATGCCAGGTGCTGTCTGGTGGAGTGTCTGTTATACCCTATCTTCGGCAACAGCAAGTGACCACAACCACATCGAGAACGCAACCTGGGGGATGTTCTGCGCATGCCAATCATCGTCAGACCACCGAGAGCAGCTTAGTTCTGATTGTGGCCAGTGTGGGCGTCCCAGACTGCCAAATCGACCACAACCACAACCGAAGTGCTTGTGTCGAGGTCGGTGGGTGATCCCCCGACGAGGCCTACAGAACAATCCACCCAGTTGTGGTTGGGGTTCTTTGTTGTGCCTGGACTATTCGGGACACGCTTCGCCGGGGCTCGGCTCGTCGGAGCCTCGGTTCGCTGGGGCATGCTTCGCCAGGGCTTGCTTCGTCAGGGCTTGGTCCGCCGGGGCTCGCCTCGCCGGGGCTTGGTTCGCCCTGGTCGATTCGCCCATCTCGGCTCGCCGGGACTCGGCTCGCCGGGGCTCGGCTCGCCAGGCGAATCCCAGACCCCCGACGTCATGATTTCTTCATGACGTGGACCCCCAGCGGTCTCCACCCAATCCCCAGGACCGGCTTTCTTATCCCGAGTCGTTCTCTGCCGATCCCGAGGGCCCCGTCGTCATTTCTTCACGGCGCGAGGGGGTCTGGGACAGAGATAGGGGAACAAAAAGTGACATCAACATAACAACTCTGAGGTCCGCGCGGATTTCTCGGATCGGGGCTGGACCCCCCTACCTGGCGCGCGGAGCGCGCCAGGGGCGGCGCCGGAGGCGCCGCCGGGGCGCCCCAGCGCCGATCCGAGAAATCCGCGCGGACCTCCGAGTTTTTATCTTTATGCCACTTTTGGCTCCCCTAAGAGACTCGGGCGAATCGGCACCATCCTGGCGCCGGATTGCGCACACCTACGCCCCCTTCCCGAGGCCTCCAAGAGGCGCGCCGGCGCCTCTTGGAGGCGAAGCTCCCAAGAAGACCCCAAGAGGGGGGCACGCCAAGGGGCCCGCGAGGGGCTGCCAAGATACACCCGGCAGGCTTCCCAGGAGGACCTCGAGAGCGACCCAAAGTTTGCCTCGAGAAGTGGGCTTCAAGAGGGAAGGAGGAGGAGGAGGAGGAGAAGGAGGAGGAGGAGAAGGAGGAAGAGGGCGAGGAGGAGGAGGAGGAGGAGGAGGGGGAGGAGGAGGAGGAAGAAGACGAGGAGGAGACACGGAGGCGGAGGCACGACCAGCGAGCACGGGGAGGATATATATATATATATATATATATATATATATGTATACATACATACATATATATAGATGTGCATGTATATATGGTCTGTTTCAACGTGCGTCGCTTTCCATACTCTTCGATTGACTATGGCTCCATTTGTGGTGTTCGAGCGCGCCGAAGGACCCAGAGAGAGCCACAAGAGGGCCTCTAGAAGACGGTCCCAATCTGGACCGAGGGGGGCCTTCGGAGGGGCCCAATACGGCGAAATGAGGCCCCAAGACGGCGAAACAGGCCCAAAAGGGCCCCAAGACTATTGAATTGGGTCTCACGGGACCCCCAAGACTGCCCCACAACCGCCCAAAGGGCCTAAATAAGCCCCATGGGAGCTCCTCAAGAAGTGGAGAGGAGAGGTGCCAAATGTGACGGCCTTCTGGGCGGTGCTGGAAGGGTTGCCGCAAAGAGTGCTTCGCTGGCACGGTGGCAGATTTGCCGCAGGCACCTGAGTAGTCAATCCCGATCCTGGCCAGCATCCTATTCATCAGCCCTCGCCGAGTGCTTTTAAAGCTGGCGCCAGAGATCGATGAAGCCCGCTCTCAAGCCGATGGATCCAACATCGCGCTCGTTGGACCCTTGGAATAAGTGCCAGCACTGGCGGCTAGCACAGCCAGTATTATAGCTGTCACGTGGATTTACTGAGCCGACAGACCAGGGACGCACGCGTTGCCGTGGACACGCAATGCATGCCAGACGCTGATAGCAAATGCTCGCACCAATGCCGTCGGAGCGCAACTATCAGCTACCCGATGCCGGATTCCACCAGTACAGCGGAGCGCTGGCAGTACCACTGGCATGACATCGCAGCAGTTCTGCACGGAGGCGGGCTTGTCCGCTGAGAAAGCCAGACGGCGCCCGGGAAGATCAGCACCAGCTCGAGAGGCGATGTGGAACGATCTGGCCGCTCCCTACCTTTGGTTCCGGGCAAATGGGGTCTTTCGTAATGGGTCAGCAAAACCATGTGCAATGGTTCATCCTGTGGTTCCTGGCGCGGCCTCCCTCACTGACCAACGATGCCAGCTGCAACGCATTTTGCCCGCATCCAGCACGAACGATTGCACGAACTCTTGCGTTCAGTTTCGAGACCCCCTTTGCGAAGGGCCTATTCGCCCGAATCCGATACACACCTTCAAGGATAGCCGAAAGTCTTGCGGCAGGCTGGGGAAGCCCTCTGCGCATGCCCTTCCATCGCATCGAGAAAGACGGACGGCGGAGGAAGCAACTCCAGACTTACAGTCACCCTCACCCCCCCGACGTGAGCCCTTAGGCGTCGGACGAAAAGGTTGAGCAGGGACCGACCGTCCCGGCATTTCTATAGTCCTACCACGAAATGTTTTTAGAACTCAAAACTGTTTTTAGAACGAAAAGAATGTTCTTAGAACATGGGCATGTTGTGTTAAAACAAGACAGCCCCAGCCAGAAATGTTCTAAGAACATTTCGTGGAAACCACAAGAGGTTCTCAAAACATTGTTTGGTAGAGCTATAGGCGAGCCAGGACGCTTCGCCACTGCTTGGAGGGGGGGGGGGGCAGTGAAAGGGAAGGTTAGCGACTCAGCTCACGCAGCTGGTTTTCCCGGCGTCTCCCGGCGCCGGAGGCGCACAGATGTGTCGAAGAAGGCGCCTGGCGGGCGCAGCCGACACCAGCGCTGCACACAGCAGACTTCGCCTCCCCCCCAGTCTGCCTGACCTTGTGGATGCCACGACAATGGACACCCTAACAGTCGAGAGAGCAGACCTTGTGGATGCCACGACAATGGACACCCTAACACGAACCCGCCCCCCCCTCCTGCCCCGGCAAAGCCCCCCCCTCCCCTTCCACCGCCTCCCCCCTGGAAAACAGGGAGGGTCACTACCGTTCGAAACCTCGAAAACCGGAGGTTCTAAACTTGCTGGCGGAGAAACCGCCGGGTCACTAACCGTTTCGAACCCATCCCCCCCTCTCCCGAAAACGCGGGGGGGTCACTACCGTTTCGACGAACCCCCGTCCCCCTCCTACCCTTCGGAACACGCGGAGGGGGGGGTCGCTACCGGTTCGAACCCCTCCCCCCCCCCCTCTCACCGCCAGCAAACGACTCCCGGTCCCTACCACCATCCTCACCACATCCCCCACTGTTGTTCCCAGCACCACTGTCCTCACCACCACTGTCCCCACTGGTTCCACCACCGCCCCTACTGTCCCCACCAGTGCCACCACCGCTGTCGCACTGTCCCCACTGTCCCCACCCCTATTCCCACCACGGCTCCACTCTCCCAACTTTCTCCACGGCCCCAACCACTGCCCCGACTGTCCCCACTGTCCCCACTGTCCCACTGACTCCTCCACTGTCCCACTGAGCTGTCCCACTGTTCCCACCACTGTCCCCACTGCCCCCACCACTGTCCCCACTGTACCTCTGTCCCATTGTCCCACCTCCGTCCTCGCCACCGCCTTCACCACTGTCCCCACCACCAGTGTACCCTCCACTGTCCTACTGTTTCCACCACATTCCCACTGTCCCCACACCACTGTCCCCACCACCACCGTCCCCACCACTGTCCCCACGTTCCACCATTGTTCTCTCAACCATTGTCCCCTTACCACTACCGTCCCCACCACTGTCCCACTGTCCCCACCACTGTCCCGCTGTCCCCTCACCACTGTCCCCACCACCACCGTCCCCACCACTGTCCGCACCCCCCTTCGGTTTTCGAGGGGGAGGGGGGGGAGGGGGGGTTCGAACCGGTAGTGACCCCCCCCGGGTTTTCGAGTTCGAGGGGGCGGGGGGGTTCGAACCGGCAGTGACCCCCCCCCCCTTTTCATGATGAACTTGGGGGGGGGGGGGGTTCGCACCGTAGTGACCCCCCCCGGTTTTCCAGAGGGGGGGGGGAGGTTCGAACCGGTAGTGACCCCCCCCCCGGTTTTCCGCCAGCAGCGGTAGAACACGCTCTTTCTAACAGTCCGATCATTGAATTTAATATGTGTTTGACATGTCGGAAACATGTTCAAAACATGCTCTAAACATGTTTTGAACATGTGTTTTACATGTTTAACACATGACATGTTTGAGACATCTGGGAATTATTTGGCAACATGCTTCCTCTCCATTGATCGTCCTCCACAAGCCTGACCCCGACCCGATGTGATTGTTCACAGCGTGGACCCCACCAGAGGTTCTGACCCCTTCCCCGAGATGGCCCCAGGGCTCGGCAAGGGAAACCGAAAGCTGCCACGATGTCCTCTGCCGTGGTCTATTTGCGACGCCAGGGGGGACTGGGCGTGGGTAGAACGAAGGAGCTAGTTGCATACCCCTCGGCAGCCATATGCGAAACCTACTTGGCGGCGCGCACAAGGGGGTGGAGGGAAGGGGAGGGCTTCTTAGAAGGAGGTTGCTTCTTAGAAGGCGCCGGCCTTGCATCTATAGATGAGG